TGAAGTCAAGATATATGACATCAATCTCTTCTCCCTTGTCCAGGTGATAGGTCACCTGGTCATAGAAGGAAATGAGATTGGTCAAGCAAGACCTACCCGCAACAAACCCGTCCTGGCTATCCCTCAGGATGCTGGCGTTGGCCAGTCCATTAAGGATGGCCTCTTTAATAAACTTTTCTAAGATCTTCCCCGGGATAGAAGTCAGGCTGATGGGCCTATAGTTTGTCGGATCTACTTTCCTCCCTTTCTTGAAGATAGGCACCACATTGGCCTTCTTCCAGTCTTTGGGCACTACACCAGAGCGCCAGGAGTTCTCAAAAGATCCATGCCAGAGGCTGGGCTATGATGCTCGCCAGCTCCTTGAAAGTAAACACACTTTAGTAGAAAGGGATTGAATCAAGGCAGACCTGGACAGGTTGGAAAAGTGGACAGAATAGAATAGGATGCAGTTCAACTAAGACAAGTGCAAAGAGATGCATCTAGGGAGAAGGAATCACCAACACACCTATAGGCTAGGGGAGGACCTTCTCAGCAGCACAGCGGCAGAAAGGGATTGACTCCAAGATGAATATGAGCCGTCAATGTGAGGAAGTAATCAGCAAAGCTTACCACACACTATCATGGATTAAGAGGTGCATCACAAACAGGTTCAGCAAGGTGATGCTTCCCCTCTATGCAGTATTAGTCAGGCCGCAGTTGGAGTAGTGTCCAGTTCTGGGCACTGCACTTCAAGAGGGATGTGGATAACCTTGCGAGGGTCCAGAGGGCCACTTGTAAGATTAGGGGCCTGCAGGTAAGGGTCTAAAAGGAAAGACTGAGGGACCTGGATCTCTTCAACCTCCGGAAAAGAACGCTGAGAAGGCATCTTGTGGCTGCTCACAAATTCATTGGGGGACAGGGGCAGCAAAAAATAGGAGATGCTCTGTTTACCAGGACACCCCTAGTAATAGCCAGGAACAATGGCCACAAACTGAGAGAGAGCAGATTTAGGTTGGACATCAGGAAGAACTTCTTTACGGTAAGGGTTACCAGAATATGGAATGGGCTTCCAAGGGAGGTGGTGCTCTCCCCTACCTCGGGGGTCTTTAAGAGGAGACTGGACAAACACCTGGCTGAGGTCATATGACCCCAGCGCTCTTTCCTGGCCAGGGCAGGGGGTCGGACTCGATGATCTATTGAGGTCCCTTCCAACCCTAACAGCTACGAAACATTTCCACACATCCCAAAACAGAAAAGAAACTAGAAAAATACTAACGTTGATTAAAAGTATTTTCAGCTTTTTGAATCATTACTTATATTAGATAGACCATAGATCTTATGGAAGTGGTATGTGGAGTTATTTTGTTCAAGTTTGGTTTAAAAGGCCACTAAATTTTAAGTGGTTCAAACGTTACTTACCACAGCAAGCTGTGTCCGTGATGCTACTGTGTGAAAAACTGCAGGCATCATAAGAGATTCTTCAACCTTTAATTCCATCTCATTCTCTGCCGAAAACGTAGTTTTGGGAATAGCAGGTGGACGTTCACATAAGATCATCTCTTTGTTGAATAGAAAAATTGGGTTTGTGTCCTGTATTAAAATATAAAATCCCAACACAAGACTGTGAGTAAATACATGTTATAGAGCCCCTACCTATTCCAAAAATTTAACAATGATGCAACTTATGAAGTAGAGTACAGAAAACTGCAGACACGAGTACTATATGAAAAGGCATTAGTCAAGCAACGCAAGAAACCCAGAAAATACAGTACACGAGTCTCTTCATAAAAGGGGAAAGAAACATTAAGTATCTGAAAAGTTCTTATCTTTACAGAATGAATTGTGAAGGCAAGGCTAAGGGTAAATGAACTTACTGTTCCAGCACTGTAACTACAGACTCTTCTGTCTGGTGCCATACATTCCCCTCCATTGACAACCAGTACCTGGTGCTGAATAGCAATCTTATATTTTGTTTGGATTGCATGTTTAAGGTCGGACACACTAAAAAGAAGGAAAAAAGGGGCAACAGAATTTTAGAGCAATGGTCTTTCAGAAAAGTGAATTTCTCAAAACTTTCAAACAGTACAACTAATTTAATTTTAAGAACCGTAAGCAAAATATCTTAGTTATTCTGAATAATATCCAAATGCTAGGTGTAAATGCCGCGATCCATTGTATTCTGGACATCAATTTCAAACCGTATGACCAAAGTATTGGTTTATAACAAGATATATGCCTCTCCAATCGTAATGCTAGAACCCTGTATTACATCATAGCCTACATTTCTGGCAGTTACCATACAAGTTACATTACTTTCTTTGAATATGCCACTAACTAATTTACTCCTGATTTGGATCTTCCATTGTTTCAATATTTCGTTAGTATTTTGTTATATGTATTCATACTATTTTGTGCCATGCATAAACTGGGCAGACAATTTCATTTAACAAGTATTGGCTGGTCTGTTCTGTAGCAGTAAATGCTAGCAAATATCACAAATCTGATATTTAATTCCAATACTCCCTTCTGATCCATCAAGCCAACTCAGGCACTACTCCAAGTTATCCTGCCACAGCAGCCTTTAGTTATTTTTGTGCACCATTCCAGTTGCTTCCTCCCCTATCAAAATCCCTAGTGCCCTCATCTTCATGTTACTGCTCACCATGACATCTTCCTTCTACTTTCCATTTTTCCTTTTTAGGCGCCATCACCTCTTAGAGTAGGGCTCCCGAAGTGGTGGCCCACAAGGAATTGTATTTCAGCCCCCAGAACCCTGACTGACTCCCTCTACTGCCAGTCTCCTTCAGCTTCCACATTCCACATCTGCCTCAGGTGGCAGTGCAACAGCATAGCACAGCACAGCGTAGGGCACTCAGGTTGAGGCTGGGGCCTCACAGATGTTGCTTGGTTACAATTTAAACACCTGTTACTCATGCTGCAAAAACTTTAGTGCAAGGTGTCAGCATCGATTCTTCTGCAGGTGCGCATGAGACCAGATTTTACCTGACCAACTGTTTTGGTCAGGGCCAGAAATCACGTAAGGGTAAGTATATGCATCAATGAAGGACTCTGACCTAATCAACAACTGGAAAGCAGGTGACATCTGGCAAGCAATAGCATACATGTGCACACTGTGGATGAGTGGTCTGTAAGATCCAGACACATATGTACCCGTATCAGTCTCACTTACACAACCTACTCCCGACGTACTGGCATCAGTGGCCTGATTAGAAGGTACTGAAAAGGGGGCCATCTTCCTCTCTGATAGATTCCTGCTTTTTATACCTGTATCCCCAAACAGGGCCATGGATGGTGGAATTACATATATAGGTAAGGCTTGGTTTAAAATCGTGGGCCCAATTTGCAGTCCCCACCATGCCGCAACCTGGCTGCCACTCGCTTCTAATGGCTGGGAGGCAAAAAAAGCAGTTTTAAATATGCCACAGTTTTTGCCTCCATCTGGTCAGAAGTAAGCGGCAGGAGGCAAAAACCATGGCATATTTAAAACCGTGGTTTTAGCCTCCCAGCCATCAGGAGCAAGTAGCAGGGATAATGGCCGCCCCTACCCCAGTCAGCAACACGGGGGCGCACAGTGTGGTGGGGAGGGAGGGGAACACTCCAAGATTAAAGGAGATGCTGCACTGCGAGCTGGGTCCGCGATTTAAACCAGGCCTTATGTACAGGTGACTCCCAGAACGCCGACTGGACTAAAGCTAATCCTGACAAGTCAACAGCTGGGATAGTAGAAGCAGCCTGTGGGTCTCAAATGAACCACTTGTAGAACTTGGACAGAAAGATTTTCTTGTTGAATGACAGGGAAAGTACATTCTCTGGTGATGGTAAAAGATATACTTCCAACTGAAGTGTTGACAAATAAGGCACTGTTATAGTATTAGCATCTGTACTGGTGCTGGTGATGTCTTGGATCCTGCACCTTTCTTGTCTAAGGCAGGAAACACCATCATTAGAAATGGCTTTGAAAGTGGGATACTGCAGTGCAGCACACTCCATTACCAATTTGTTACATTTGTCCATTTTAATAATATGCAGCACTTGGGAGGCCTTATCCCTAGGCATTTTGCTGTGCTTGCACTTACTGAAGGACATCTCACCTGCCTCAGTGCTCAGCAGACCCTACAAACACTTAAATACATTTGCATTAGATTCCAGGCCAAGTTTGGCTTCAATCCCAGCGCTAGCACTCATTCCAGTGTCTGTAACAGGTCTTACTTGCCTCCACTGTGATTTCAGAAGCTGACTGACTCCTCAGTGGGACACCAGAGAATGTGAAATTCTCCTTATGAGCAAGAATCTCTCTCTCAGTACAACAAGATGTTCACAGATTTCAAGAATATGGAGCTTCATCTTTGCATCTCATAACTTGCAAGTGCTCATAGAAAAAGATAAAAATACAGCACAGCCTCTCAGAATGTGGGTTTCTCCCACACACAAAAGGCACCAACCATGCCCATTTTAATGGATATTAGTCTACTGCAAGATGGGTAGGGATTGAAGCCTGCAGATTTTCAGTTTTATTTTGAAACCAAACTGCATACTAATAATATTGTCTTGCAGCCATGGTCAGTAACAAATAACTGAGAAAGAATCACAGCCACTTTACTACTAAGGTTCTCGATATAGAGCAGAGGCACACCCACAGCCACATAAATAGCGCATATAGATTCTGCTGGTGAAAGAAAACTCAGTTTTGTACGCATGAGTGCTAGAGAGGGATGCAGAGATGCTTACTCAAAAAGAAAGAGGAGTATAATCTGTCAAGCATGCACATATATAGTTTTTTAAGAGGAGAAAAAAAAATGTCTTACTTCTGTACTGCAAGTTCGGTGTCAAATGTAAGGGTTGTTCCAGTGTTGACAAGGAATACATATAGCTTCATGGTGATTTTTTTTAGCTTCCTAGAGTTTAGTTTACACGTTCCCCTTTGCAAGTACCATTCAGAAGCTGAAAAGATATCCAAGTATTAGTTCTATACATGCACACTATACTATTTATAGAAATTGTGCATTTTTAGGGAAAGAGGAGTTACCACGCA